CCCCTGACGTGTAAAGGAGGAAAGTCAATCGGTAAAACAATGAGAGCGGGGTGTGTTTTATTGTAACCGCCGGCTGTGACTAATACAGCTTGCATTTTCAGTTTCTCCTGAAATGGTCATAGAGAAACGGTCATGCTGACCGGAGGGCGGGGGCCTGACCGGGGTGCTACAGGGGTAGTCACTGAACCGGCTCAACTTCCTCTCTTCATCTCTGAAAACGGGGCCCCCGGACCTTCTCACTGCGTTGCCGGGGAGAGTCAAATGAGAAGCTTTGCAGAGTTTAGGATTGGAAAGTACGGTCAAACATTGGACCCTGTTAGTTCCTGACCTGCCTGGTTTTCTGTGGCTGAACGTTGCATCATCTCATGACACTGGTCCTGCTGGCCAGAGCCCACAGATGACATCCATGCTGTCCAAACTCTAATTTCATTTGTTTGCTTATTTAAAAATATTTTGTGATTTCAGACAGACAGAGAGAGCAAGCGCGAGAGAGAAACACTGATTTGTTGTTCCACGTACTAGCATTCATGCATTCATTGGTTGATTCTCGGCCACAGGAGCAGTGCCAGGGAACCGTGAGATCCCGGGCAGGCTAGGAAGATGTGTGCTCCGTGGACCGTGAGCAGGGTGGCCTGGAGAGAGCATGTGGGGACTGACATGGAGCAACTTGCCAGGGTGATGCACCCCACAGTGGGTGGCTACTAGCAAGCACCCATGAGGTCGGAGCACCCAAGAACCACAGTAGCACAGCCTGGTTTGCGCCTGGGCTGTTTCTGGCAGAGGATGAAGGGTGTGCTACCTCTTTTGGTTTCACTGCAGCTCACAAGGGGAAAGTGGGCAGACGGGTGGCTGTCCCGCCTGTGGGGTCTGGATGTTGCACTCCACGGGGAGAGACGAGCCCCTGTAAGACCCACATCAGCACGCACAGCTCCTGCTGTAGCAGCTCACCTTTCGATGCATCGGGTTGAAGCCATCTGTCCCTGTTAGGTATGGACAGTCCATACGAAATAAAGCTGACAACTTAGAAGAACGAGGTCTATTGTTTTCCCCAATGCCCATGATCATGGTCATGTTAAGCTGAAGGAGAGGCAAGGCCTTGGCCCAACAGTCTTAAGGGACCTAACTTATTATTAAGAGTTCAGGGCCAAGATCAATAGGTAAAGGGACAGAGAAGAATGGGTACCTACCCACAATGGAATATTACTCAGCCCCCAAAAAGAATGAGAGCTTGCCATTTGCAACCACACGGATGGACTTAGAGGGTATTGTGCTAAGTGAAATAAGTCGGGCAGAGAAAGACAAATACCATATGTTTTCACTGATACGTGGAGTCTCAAAACAAAAGAAGCAAAACAGAAAGAGACTCGTAGATACAGAGAACATGTTGGTGGTCGCCAGATGGGAGGGGTGTTGGGAGAGAACGGGTGAAAAAGGTGAAGGGATTGAGAAGTGCACATTGCCAGTTATTACAAATAGTCACGGGGAGGTTGAGTATAGCACAGGGGATATAGTCAATAGTAGTGTAATAACTCTATGGAAGGTGTCAGATGGGGACTAGACTTGCTGGGTGATCACCTTGTAAGGTATATAAACGTCTAACTACTACGCTGTACACCTAACACTAATGTAATATTGTATGTCGACTGCCATTGGAAGATAAATTAATTTTTTAAAAAGACATCAGGGCAGAGGATGGAGGGGACCCACCAGGCCCACAACACGGTGGGCAGGCCAGTCCCGGGCCAGCCGGAGCCCTGAGTACGGGCCGTTTTTGTAACAGAACACTATGTCTTTCACACCCTGCTCTCTTCTCCAGAACCCAGATCTGAGTCACCGTAAAAGGTGGGGGAGGGGCGAGCAGAGGAGGAAGAAACAGAGAAGGATATGGAAAGCGATTTAGAAACACACACCTCCGACAGAACTTGATAACCCGGAGTCCAGGTGATCGGCGCCTGACGGCATACAAAGGCCCAAGGCAGGCCACAGGACCGGGCAGCTTCAGACTTCATGTTTGCCTTCCGCTGAGCAAACTAATAAATCCCCTACAGTTTTAGCCACGCAGAGCTCCCCGATTTTATTTACTGGTCAAAACTGCAGGCGGGTTTGCTTTTCCCCCTCCCCGTCACCCAGGGCAAATAGCAGGCCCCTCCCCCCGTCCTGCCATCAGACTGTATGTCTATTTGCGTTCCCCTTCAACAAACGCATGTTCGGCGCAACTGACAAGGAGTGCAAACAGCTTTGAAGTATTCTTCGGTAATGGACTTCCCCCCGCAGCCCTGTGTTTGGCCTGGGCAGCCGAAGGCGAAGGGAGAAAGAACTACTTGTCAGAGAAAAGGCAGACGCCACCTGGGTCAGGCGGGGCTCGGAACTTGACCCATAGAAGGGACCTCAGTGGATCCTCAAGAGCAGTGGTTCTCAACCTTCCTAATGCCGCGACCCTTTAATACAGTCCCTCATGTTGGGGTGACCCCCAATTTCATTGTTACAAATTGAACATCATTAAAGCATAGTGATTCATCACAAAAACAATATATAGTAATTATATATGTGTTTTCCGATGGTCATAGGCGACCCCTGTGAAAGGGTCGTTCGACCCCCAATGGGGTCACGACCCACAGGTTGAGGACCCCTGCTCAAGACCAACCATGTCTCCTCCTTCCCCTCCCATTTTATAGATGAGAAGACTGAGACCCAGAGAAAAGGCTTGAGTGACTTACATGTGACCTTGGAGCAAAGCGAAAGGGAAAGCAGGACAAGAGTGCAAGTTTCCAGCCCCTCAAGCCCCCAAGTTCAAGGCTCTTTCAGACCCAGGCAGAGATGTGCTCCCTCTGTGGATTGCTCTCTAAAATAGAGGTAGGGGGAGTCAGCCCTGCTTTCCAGCAGCCTGGCAGAGGGCCTTGTCCAAGGTCAGTGGCATTCCTAAGGTCACCTTCATGCCCTTTACACCACCTCCTCCTGAGCTGGGGGGCATCCTTCACCATTGGAGCCTCCTATCTTTCCATCAACACACAGGTTCGCAGAACCATTGGAAGAGGATACAAGTCTTCCCTGGGTCAAGTTCAACGCCATGGAAACATCTCGGAGGGAAGCTTGAACCAAACCTTGGGGAAGGGACCGGCACTACTTTGAGGTTAAGTTATGCTCAGAACGAATTCACGCAAGATCAGTAGGTCCGACATGTGGAGGAAAGACTGTTCCACTGTACCTCGGGCAGCGTCTGCTATCCTGTTCTCGTAGGGAACAGAAATAACCAATCTTTACGTCACTAACTCTAGCAAATATGGCAGCACTGTGGATGTCAGAGCTAGAAGACCTTCGGGGCACAACTCCTTCATGCTCCATGGAAGGAGGCAAGAGAAGGGCCGTGTTCCAGCACCGCAGACACGCACGCCGTCTTTCAGCAAGACGAGGAGGCCTGATCCCTGGCAAGCAGCAACAACTTCGGGATGGCATGCATCCCGAGAGCCTGGCTTTGACGAACCCGAGAAGAACCTGTAATTTGCCTTCTTTGGATTGTTCTTACTTGTCATGAACACCAACGGCTGGGCTGGCACGACCTTCCTCTCCTCCACCCTCCACCGCCAGCACCACCGTCGGCTCCTCTCGCCCAGACCGAGGTAGTGTCTGCAGAGGGAAGAAGGAGCCTGGGTGGTCCCAGGCCCCACTCCCCGAGTTGGAACTCAAAGGTTATCTAGGAGACTTTAGAGAGAAAGTACACACTTAGGCCCAATTTACATGCCCTTGATAGTTTAAAGGATCCTAGCGTTCAAAGGAATTTCAGGAAGTCTTCGCGCCAACTCCCTTGCTCTCCAGACACCACCATCCCAAAGATCTTAGCTCTTAGTCTCTGTCTAGCTAGCTTGCAGAATTTTCTTCTGGGCTCATTATTCTACGGAGTATGTACACGCGTCACACACACACACACCCCGCTCGCACGCACGCATGCACACACCACTGTCCACGGCACTCTACTGAAGGAAGTGGTCTCCATTGGTTCCTTATACCCAGGTTTTCATTCAATATCATGCAACCCTACCATTCTGGAAACAACCGACGTGGTGAAGATTGGTGGTTGATCCAATGGCATGCGTCTATAGGCTGCTGGTGGCCAATGATATGTCCTGAATGGTGATTGGCCAAACCGGTCAAGGCTACCAGTCGGCTACAGAAAGTAAAGCAGAAGCAGAGCCAGGATCGTCGAGTCACCAGCAGGGTTACCAGTTGTCCCAGTTTGCCCAGGACTATGGCAGGGTTAGCACTGGAAGTCCTGCATCCTGGGAAAGCCCCCGGTCCTGGGCACCCTCAGCCCATCACCACGAGCCGAATTCTAGAATCAGGAGCAGTGGATCCCGCTGCAGAGCAGGAGATCGAGGGGGCTGTGGTATGACAGGTTCTGCTGTCCCTGGAAACCATCTCTAGCAAAGGGAATCCTTTAAGTTAATGCTCACCCAAGGATATTATTTCATTGGATTTTAGAGAGTGTGGAAGAGAAGGGGAGAGACAGAGAGAAACATCGATGTGGGGGAGACACATCGGTTGGTTGCTGTCCACATGCTCAACTGGGGTACATGCCTTTGACTGGAATCGAACCCAAGACCCTTTAGTCTGCACTGACGTTCTAACCACTGAGCACCACCAGCCGGGCAGCAACGCGAACTCGTGAATGACTTGGGCTTCTCGGGAAGGTCTAGCTGGGCAGCTGCTGCCAGACTGCTTCCTGCCTACTTCCCCAGCAGCTTGTGCTAAGCCAGCTTGTATGGAGGTAAGACAAGTGGGTCTCTGTCCCTTGACACCCAAGGGAATTGAACTGCTACAACGAGCCTGTCTGCCTGTCCAGGAAGGACGGCGAAAGCCCACAGACAAGCCTCGTGTTCCAACTGCAGGAAACCTCCAGAGGCTCCCCTCCGTCATTTTGTGTTGAACCTGAGACGCCGAGAAGGCCCCCCTTGCTCCACTGAGAAGACACTGAAATCACTAAATGGTCACACAAACACATCATCTGCAACACAGGGAAGGTAGACAGGTCTAGCTTTAATTCTTTCCGTCCATTCACTGTGGACACTGAGAGTACAGACCTGCTTGGCCCTGCACTTTGGCCAAGGTTGACAGGGATAGACATCTAGGAAGTATTTCCGTCCATGTGTAGGGCGGCTACAGAGTGATCGAAACGAACAGGACTCGTGGGGCCCAACCCATGGCCGGGTGTGTGTGTCACCGGCACGCCCCGGAGGAAGAGGGTCCGCCACAAATTCCACCAGCGCTGGTAGCTGGACGGTCCTAAAGAAGCCCCCAGCTCCGGTGTGGACCCCAACGGCCACCTGAGAGGAGAGGGTGGCCATTGCCGCTGACTGTGCCTCTGGCTCAACATTTTCTGCTCCTCCAGATGTCCGATCGTGTGTGATCCCAGCCAAGACGGGTGGGCATGGAGAACGGCAGCCTTCACAATCCGGGTCCACCGCCGGAGTCCCTGCCAACGTCCCCAAGAGCCCGAGGAACGTCCCCGCATGGATGAGCATCCCTCGGGAACCCGCGCGGCCAGGCCCGAACAGACGAGAAGGAAGACTCGTCCAAGGCTGTGCGCATAGCGGCGCACACGTGTCTTGAGAAGGAGCCGGAACAAAAAACGCAGATCCTGTTTGACCTAAGTGTAGTTAACGATTCACTCTGTATCCGCTAGAAGACGACGGAGCAAACAAGAATCGCTGCACAGCAGGCGTGGAGGTGGGTGGGGGGCGGACAGAAAGGGGGTGGCAGAAAGCCCTGGGGCTCCTGGGGGTTGGGGGAGGGCAGCCTTCGGGGCCTCGGCCGCAGAGGAAGGGTTTTCCATAAGAAGGAGAAGCAAGGTCTGGGATACCGGTGTCTCCTCCATAGGTTGCCCTCAGCAACGATGCTTCCCCCAGCGCATGCAGGTCATCACGCCCACTATTCCTCAGAGCGAGGGTCTTGGCTTTCTCCTCAAATGTCTTCTCAAATCCAGAACCTTCTATATGTATTCTCCAAAATAAGAGTTCTCCATCCAATGCAGAGTGCCTGCCTCTTAAGAGCTGGTTGCAGCTGAGCCGGGACCTCCAGGAGGCTCCCTGGTGGGCAGTGAGGGTGAGGAAGGGCAGCCCTTTGCCAGCCCTGCTTCCCAGGCCTGTGGAGCAAAACACAGCATTGGAGTGAGAATCTGGCGTCAGCCCCTCCTACAAATGGCTTTCAACAGTGAGTATCACTTTCCTACTTTCCTCCCTAACAGTCTAGCTGCCGAGAAGAGGAGAGCTGCTTCTAAAAGCAGGATTTTCGTTAGGGGCAGGGGGAGGGGTAGCTGTTTATCCAACTCAAGCAACTCCCTGTACACTGAGTCACCACCGGGAGCCTTTCACACAAATCCCACCACTACACCCATAGCTGATTTATTTTAAAAAATAAATTAAATACCACTGAACCCAGCCAGCCCAGAGGAAGTGGAAAATTCTGTTTTCAGCAGATCACTGTGATATGTCTGCGAGATGTGGGCGTGTGGAGATATTAGATCACCCACTTTACAAACGGGGAAACTGAGGCACAGAGGGTGCCAATGTTCTCAGTAGAGGATGACAAGGGTCTGGTCCCTAATCCTAATGTTCCCTTCAGCCGGCACCTCTCTGCTCTCGAAAGCCCCTTAACAATTAATCAGGAAACCACCCAGACTGGGTAGGGGTCCCTCCGAGGAAATGTGAAGGCATGGTCTAACACGTTCCTACTTCCCTCACGCCGATGGCAAATACACAGACATGGCCCGGCCGGCCTGGCTGGGTGGCTGGGCACCAATCTAAGAACCAGGAGACCACAGTTTCCATCCCGGTCAGAGCACATGCCTGGGTTGCAGGCTCAATCCCCAGTAGAGAGTGGGCAGGAAACAACCGATCAATGATTCTCTCTCATCATTGATGTTTCTCTCTCTCCCTCTCCCTTCCTCTCTGAAATCAATAAACTTATATATTAAAAAAAAAGAATTGTGGGGCTGTCTTACGGTCCCTATTAGGATGGGCACCCCTGTAAAAAGCGAGAGTGTGCATATTAGAGTCACCTACCCAAAGAAAGCCAGCCAACATGCCCATGCAGAGGTGTCTGGGCGCTCCAGGTGGCTCTCTGATTGGTGGCCAGGGGGACATCGCACGTCTTCGCCCAGGTGTTGCCTAGGCCTTCCAGACACTCTCTTTCATTTGGGCCTGAAAGCACCCCCAACACCCCCAAAGTTGTGCTAACGTTCCTCTGGTCCCCTTCCCTCCAGGGCAGCGGCCCTCTCCCCTGGCTCCCACGGGGCCCAGGGCCGGGAGAAGCCCTTCTGGCCCCGGGAGACGCACACAGCTCGAAGCTTGCCAATTAATTGGCAGCCGCCAGGTGAATCACACAGGGACTTCCTTCTTGTTGCCCGGCAACCGCATGCACTTGGCAGTGGGACGTTAAACACAGAGGGGAATGTTGGGAGGGACTTGCAAAATAAAATGAAAAGCAAAACATACAACACCCCAGACTCATCCCAGCATGGCCAACCCAGCCCGGAGGGGGGGGAGGGGGAGAGAGGCATTGGGGAGTGGGGTGGAGACGAGGGAATCGGCCCAGCAGAGCCCAACTCTCCCTCCCCCACACCCCCTACCCAAACCCTCTGGGTGCATGTTCATAGGTGGCCAAAGACACGCCTCTGTTAGCCTGGAGAAAGGCAACGGGGGGCCCACGGATTAACAGGCGCCAAGGGAGTTGGAAGATTACCTAGAAACACGCAGCCCAGAGGGTTTACGAGGCTGGCTGAGGGCACGTATCTGCTGTTTTCGCGTCTCCACTGGGCACCACTGCCCAGGCTAAGTCACTCTGCCACCTCTAGGGCAGGAACGCCTTCTCCCAATCCTTTTCCCCTCGAATGTGTTTGTGTCTGTTGCTATGGCCACTGGGAGCTGTGCCCTTCAGACCCTGTCTCTGGCCTCTCTGAAAACCCCGGGAACAGACGTGAAATGTGTGCATGTTCTGTGCTGGGGACAGCCCACAGAACAAGGGCTGGGGACAAGGAAAGGGAGGACAGTGGCAAGGGGGCCACTGCGGTAGGCTGAATATTAGCCCCACAAAGACAACCAGGCCTTGATCCCTGCGACCTTGAACGTAGGCTACCTCTGACAGCAAAAGGGACTGTGCGGATGTGAGCGAGGGCTCAGGGACTGCAGGGATTACCCTGGATTATCCAGGGGGGCCCACATGTAATCACAAATCTTCATAAGAAAGAGGGAGGCAGTCCTAGCTGGTTTGGCTCAGTGGATGGAGCGTCGACCTATGAACTGAAGGGTCCCAAGTTCGATTCTGGTCAAGGGCATATACCTCGGTTGCAGGCATTGTCAATCCCCGGAACCGGGACCAGGCCCTGCAACCAGTAGATATGTCTCTCCCTCTACCTTCCACTCTCTCTAAAAATCAATGGAAAAATATCCTCGGTGAGGATTAACAAAAAATAAATTAATAACAATAAATAAATTTCTTATTTAAAAAAAAGAAAGAAAGAGGGAGGGAGGGAGAGGAAGACCTGACCCAGAGGCTAGAGGGACCCAGGGCAGGAATCACAAGGCAAGGTGACCAGGAGGCTCCAGAGCTGGGAAAGTCAAGGAAGTGGATTCTTCCCAGGAGACACTGGAAGGAGCCAGCCCTGCGGATGCCTTGACCTTAGCTCCGTGGAACTGGCCCCCAGAACCATAGAAGAATAGATGTGAGTTGCTTTACACCCCTAAGTTCATGGTAATTTTACAGCAGCCATGGGACTCTACTGCTGCGCATCAGGGCACACGGGGCCGCTGTGCCCCACAGGTCTGTGGAAGAGGGCGTCACCGCAAGCACAAGAGGCAGCAATGGGCTGAGGCTGGCCAGGAGGGGCGAGGTCCAGAACTTGGCTTAGGAAGGTCCGACAGACACCCTACGAGGGCCAAGGGCGGGTCTCTGAGACCAACTGAGGCAAGAAGCGGCCCAGGCTCTGAAGGCGTTTTGAAATTGTTTTCATTTGTGACTGTAACTTGGCTCCATCTCTGAAAGCTTCTGTTTCATCATCTGCAAAATGGAGATAATATCTGCCTTGCAGAGCTTTTAGGATTAAGGGAGATGCCGTAGGAAAAGCACATGGCACAGGGCAGATGCCCAATAAATTACGACTCTGAGGAGGATTCTGTCGGTGGTGACTTACTCCAGTATTTGTCCTCCCCTTTCTACTTAGAAACAGAACTCTGATTTCACACTGAGGCCCAGAGTCAAAAGACTATGTTTCCCAGCCTCCCTTGCAGCTAGCTATGGCCACATGACTAAGATCTGGTCAAGGAGACGTAAGCAAGTGCTGTGGGACTTCTGGGAAGGCTGTTCAAAAGGTGTTGGAAAGAGCCCGATGGTTACCTCTCTGCCTTTCCTGCCTTCCGCCTTCAGCGAGGACGTGATGGCTAGTGCCCCAGCAGCCGTCTTGGACTACGAGGGACGCTGAACATGGGAGTCCTGTGAGAAGGTAATTTAATAGGAAGAGGGAAGCCCGGGTCCCTAAAAGCTGAACTGCTATACCAGCCTTGGATGGCCTTTTTCTGGATTTCTGCTATGTGAGCAAGAATGCTCTTGTGTCCTAATAGTGAAGTCACTATTACTGTAGAGTTTTCTAGTAACCACGGTGGATGCCCTATATCACAGATCTAGAAAAGGGAATCCATCTAGAGGAGTGCTTCTCCAAGTGTAGTCCACCTTCAGCAGCACCTGGGAACGCATTAGAAATGCAAGTTCTCAGGCCCCACCCCAGACTCACTGCCTCGAGCACGCGGAGAGCCGCTGCGCATGGCAGACACTGCTCCCAGCGGGGGAAGCAGGAACATCCCTGAACCTGACTCTGGGGAGGACACAGGTGCTCCCAAGCAGAAACTGTCACCAGCACGGCTGGGGCAGGCTTGGGAATGGACAGGTAGCTGCCAGGTGGGGTGACTGGATGGAGCAGGATTCCTGGTGGCTGTGTCACCTTACTTCCCATCAGAACAGGGTGGACACCTTTCCTGCCTCCCATGAATAACCACACAGAGCCTGTTTCCTCCCCTCGTAAACCGAGAGCACAGGGAGCCGGCTCCCACGAGGTGCTGCACACATGAGCTCATGCAAGCCAGAGCTCTGCCTTCGTGAAGGCGGGGACACGGCAGCGGCCTGTTTAGAAACGGGAGCACCAACTCTCCCTCCAGTCGGTAACTCCCCAGGCGCTGAAACCAGAATCCTCCCACAGGGCTGCGCCCTGAGCAGAGACAGGCTTCCCATACTTTTAACGGAGCCTGGAAATCAGCTCTGCGCGCGTTTGTAGCTGGGCCAGAGCATGAAGGGAGGAATAAATGAAGCGAGAACCCGGGAATGAGGAGAGAAGGAGAGCTGAGCAGGGTGATGCTCTGGCTCCTGGAAAAGGCAGATGAAGTCACCTGTGAATTCCCTCTCCTGCTGGGACCCGCTCCTGCCTTTGCCATTTCATTCCCGGCCTGCCCTGCTGAAATGCTGAGCCAAGCTTTTCCTGGCTCCCTTTGACCCAAATCATTAAATCAAGAATGTCACTGGGGATAGGCAGGAGGGAGGTGGAGGAAAAGAGGAGAGGAGGGAGAGGAAGAAAAAGAAGAGGAGGAAGGGAAGGAGGTGAGGAAGAAAGAGGAGAGAGAGAAGAGATGGAGGGCAGGAGGAGAGGAAGGCAAAGGGGCTGGAGGACAGAGGAGAGAGAAGCCTGCAGGGTAAACCGAGTCCTCGCAGCATCCCTCCCTCTCTCAGCTCCAACTGGCTAGCGCAGATGGGGAGATGGGGGACAGGTATGAGTCCATAACCCACATGGAAAAGGCCAGGTCCCAGGGACCTCTGGGAGGCTAAGGCCCTGTGGGATGGAACCCACTGGCATCTTCCCACTGGAGGCAGCGGATTGGAGCAGGTAGGAGAGACCCCGTTGCTCTCTATCAGTGGTACCCAAGAGACAAGGAAGCAGGTCCCGTTCCTGTTCCTGGGGACTTCTGTTCCCGGCCACAAATGAGACCAAACAAGGGAGGACTTGGCTTCTGGCATCGGCCAGCTCCGAGCTTCCACCTTCCTCTCCCCACCCCACCGCCCTTCCCCCTGGGTCCAAATACAGCTCCCACTTGACTGAAACCC